TTGACCTATGAACCAGGATATCATGGTTCAATTCCTGGTCAGGCCATATGCCCAGGTTGCAGGCTCAAGCCCCAGAGTGGGGTGTGCAAGAGGAAGCCAATCAGTGGTTCTCTCTCATCACAGATGTTTCTATCTCTCCTATCTCTCCCTTCCTCTCTGAAATCAATAAAAATATACTTTAACAATATAAAAAATATAAATAAATAAATGTTAAGTGGCTGGCATGAGATCCGAATAAAACTTTACCAAAAATAATAATAATAATAACTGGTTACCAAGCAAAGCAGACTCATTCTTTCATACCTTTTCCTTTTTTAACATTTTTTTCTGCTTCCTCAAATAATCCCGGAAGATGAATTACCACACCATTTCCTAAAGAAAAATAAACAAATTAATTCCAACCTTAAACATCTATACTTTATTAATATAGACATACATAATGATATTAAAATATAGACATCTACAATTACCCTTTATCTAGAACATAGGAGATTGAGGGACTTGAATTTACAGGACATTCTGATTTACCAAAGTGATATCACAGAAAGGATTCCAAGTTTTAGACAGTAGTGTAATGTAAATAAACAAAAGAACATAAACACAGAATTAAAAAAACTCTAAAATTACACCCAATATAATTTAAAATTTCTTTGAAACAAAGTAAAACTGTTATTTGGGAAAAAAAAACTAGTTATGTAGCTTTAGGCAAATTAAACCAGATCATAGTAGACTCTCTAGATCAAATGTCTTTCAAATTGGGAATCACACTATTACTGTTAATAAAATCAATTTAGTGGGTTGTAATTAGCATTTTAAAAAATAAAAAACTAGAATAGAACATATCAGATTGCCTATATGTTCTAAGGGCTCAGAATCAATTTATAAAACATAGACTTGTTTGCCTTATTGTGTCATGTTTGAAAAACTGATCTGATGACCTAATAGTTCTTTATAGAATTAAGATTACCAATGAATACAGTTAAACGCAAAGCAATCATTCCAAAAAGTATTAGTGCTAAAAGATCTAGAAGGAATTGTAAAATAGCCAAAGTTAGGTATATTCCAGAAGGTACCAAGGTCAAGATTAATCATTTGATTAGTGAAGGATGAAATCAGTTTGATAATGAAAAATGAACACTATTAGGAACTAGGGAGGAAAATTCTCAAAGGATTCATTCTATACTTACCAATGAATGCAGTAACATTTGGATTAATTATTCCACTGGGTAAAAGATGAAAATCATACTCCACGGAATCTACAACAACTGTGTGGCCGGCATTATTTCCTCCCTGAAACATATAATGGGAAATGGAACCTGACAATACATATGACAAGTAATATATCTCCTTCCAAAGAAAATTAATGATTTCCTGCTAAAATGTCACTATCACTTAAGGAAACACAAGCATTTGTCACAAACACTAATTCTTTGGAGGATTTATGATAGTTTCGCTCTCCTCTCTCCATTCCTCACTCCTGAAAACTGGAGAATTCAGGTTTCTGGAAGATGGGAAGACATGCCCTCTAAAAGGACCAAAAAAAAAAAAAAAGTGAAAAGACCACAGGGGACAATTCGTTTTGTGTGTGTGTGTGTGTGTGTGTGTGTGTGTGTGTGTTTAAACACTTTCTTCGTCTTTTTTTATATTTTATTGATTTTTTTTACAGAGAGGAAGGGAGAGGGATAGAGAGTTAGAAACATCGATGAGAGAGAAACATCAATCAGCTGCCTCCTGCACCCCCCTCCCCCCCCCCACTGGGGATGTGCCTGCAACCAAAGGTACATGCCCTTGACCAGAATCAAACCTGGGACCCTTCAGTCCGCAGGCCGATGCTTTATCCACTGAGCCAAACCGCCCAGGGCAAGACAATTCGTTTTTATTGTTTTGGGCACTCTCTATGTAGGACACATAGTAATCGAATTAATTATCCATGGTATTCCAAAATAAAAATCCTTAAAATAGAAAAGAGTAATCCATCCAGTTAGCCTAACTTGATGTAAATATTCATATAACTCCCATGGTCCTAAGAGTGTCAAGCAACTTCGTGACCTGACATTTGTATTCTTACATGGACGTATCAACTAGCAAATCTCCAAGTAACTACCTCAAATATTGGCTATCCTGAGACTCAAACTTTTAAATTTATAAATCAGTCTTGTGAGTTTGGTTAGTAACAGATCCTCGGGATCTACTCATCTCTGGATAACGTCATACACTGGGTCAAAGGTCAAAGACCCTCTAAAGCTGGGAATCATACTGCCGACCCAGGGTGAAACTTCCCCTCTGTGAAGTTCAAGCCTAAACAGACAATTAAAGCACAATTTGAAGTCAAATGATAAAAATTAGGCACAAAGCAGACAATAGTAAGTGACCAGATAAATTTTCTAATTTCTAAGTTTAAAAAGAATGGGAGAAAACACAAATCAATTAATTATAGCTTTAAACTTCTATACAATTTTTTTTTAATTTTAAAGTAAACCACATACTAGGAATATGTTTGCAACAAAAAGTTTGACATTTTCGTGGGACATTTTAAAAAATACCCATCAAAACAGTATCTCTGGAGAATGACTAGTCTAACTTGATCACAAGGCAATTTTTGCCAAAGTGAATGTTATTTACATTTTACTAAATCCTTACCAATCATGAATTCAGAAAAATGGTCCTTCAAAAAAAAAAAAAAGCCTATTTACACTCTTTTGCACTGTACAAAGCAAAGAATCCCTGTTTGAAGGCTACTGTGTGTCATGTATGTTTAAAAACAAACAAAACACTTGACAGTGGTGACCTATAGTCTACAAGATGACAGGTGGGTGGCAAAACACAGGAAGACAGAAGAAGTAGTGTTAAGCAATACCTCCCTCACTGGGTACCACCAAGGGCACAGGTGAATACTTCTTACTATCTATTTTTAACAGGAAACATCTGCATGGGATACAAAGGCACAGAGATGTGCAGTATTCCACCCTGACCCTGCCCTAGTTCCCTGGACAAGGCAACCAGGTTCCACAGGTTTTGTGTCCTCCCAGAGGTAATTTTGCATATACAAACATATTTATATACTAGAAGCCCGGTGCACGAAATGCGTGCACGGGTAGGGTCCCTAAGCCTGGCTGGCAATCAGGACCGATCAGATTCCCCGCCTCCCCACCTCCTCCTTCCCTCACTCTCTCAGCGCCCCACTGCTGCCACTGGTCACCCGCCATGTTCTGCGCCGCCCCCTGGTGGTCAGCGCATGTCACAGTGAGCTATTGAACTCCCATTCTCCTGGTCAAACTCCCAAGGGAACACTTTGCATATTAGCCTTTTATATAGATAGATAGAAGAAGATTGTTTTACTCCATGTTTACAAATGTGAGCAAACTATATACACTTGGGCGGCTTGCTTTTTTTTAGAGCAATTTTAGAGCTAATTCCATAACTTTGCAAACAGAACTGTCTCATTCTTTTAACAGCTGCACTGTACCGTACTCCTCTTTATAGGGACACATAATTCTTTAAATTTGTCTATAACAGAGACATTCAGGTTGTTTGCAATCTTTTGTCTAATTGTGAATAATGTTACAATACACTTCCCAGTATATACTTTATTATTTCACACTTGTGTAAGTTTATCACCAATACTGACAGAAGACTCCTAAAACATGTATTACATGCCAAAAGGACATATTGGTCTGTTCAATTTTTCTTTAGTGCCCAAAAAATGCTAATTTGCTATTACAATTATTTAATTCTAAATTATTATAAATCACTAAATTTAATAAATGCTTACTAAATTGTTATAAAGTATTAGTAACTTTGAGACAATCAATGAAGCATTATTATTTAAAATAAAACTAGCTTTTTAGAGAAACCAAGATGGTGGCATAGGTAAACACCGGAGTTTGCTGCCTCGAACAACCACTTCAAAAATACAACTAAAAGACGGAACGGACATCATCCAGAACCACAGGACGGCTGGCTGAGTGGAAGTTCTACAACTAGGAGGAAAGAGAAAAGCATACCGTGACTCAGAGGAGGCGCAGTGCCGAAGTGAAATACTAAGGTGCGGAGTGCATGCAGAGCAGGCTGGTGGCTGAGGACGCGGTTGTCGTTTTCAATCGGGAGGGAGTCTCAGGCTCTGAGCTCCAGTTCCGGGCGAGTGTCTAGGGACCCAGACTCATATGGGAGAAGCGGGACTGTCTGGCATCGCTCAGAACCCTAGGGCAGCTTTCTCTACGAGGGGCTTGCAACGATTACCGGGACACTGAGAAGCAGAGCCTCTGAGGGCAAGACTGAGAGCAGCCATAATTGCTAACCCCGCCCTGTTGATCCCGTGGGACCCGCCCCGCCCAAGCCCTGCAGGGAGGCTTTTGCTGGATAGCCTCAGGCAAAGGCTAGATTAGCACCTCCCTAGAGATCCAGGAGCCAGGAAGCCCAGAGGTCAGAGTGGGACCATCCAGTTTGCAGCTCCCTGGAACCATAAAAGACACACTCAGGGGGCAGACTCAGTGAGCACCAAAGCCCCATCGAAGCAAGTCTAGCCCCAGAGGGGTGTCTCCAGCACAGAAGTTCTCCCACTGCAGACACAGCTGATTCTCACAGCCAACTGGCCTGGAGGTCAATTCCTCACAGTGATAACTACAATAATCAAGGCTTAACTACAACAAGACTGTGCACAAAGCCCACAAGGGGGTGTACCAAGAGTGTCTACCTCAGGTAATTGGGACACTTAGCACAGAAAGGCACTCTATCGACACAGCGAAGCATAAAAAATGCCAAGACATAGAAACAGGACACAAATGACAGAATTGGAGGAAAGCAAACTGTTGGATATAGAGTTCAAAACCACACTTTTAAGGTCTTTAAAGAAATGTCTAGAAGCCGCCGATAAATTTAATAAGGCCCTCGAAAAGACTGGTGAGACCGCCGATAAATGTAGTGAGATCTTCAAGAAGACTGGTGAGACCGCCGATAAATGTAGTGAGATCCTCAAGAAATCTAATGAGACCCTCGATGTTGTGATAAAGAACCAACTAGAAATTAAGCATACACTGACTGAAATAAAGAATATTATACAGACTCCCAACAGCAGACCAGAGGGTCGCAAGAATCAAGTCAAAGATTTGAAATACGAAGAAGCAAAAAACACCCAACTGGAAAAGCAAAATGAAAAAAGAATCCAAAAATATGAAGATAGTGTAAGGAGCCTCTGGAAGAGCTTCAAGCGTACCAACATCCGAATTATAGGGGTGCCAGAAGATGAGAGAGAACAAGATATTGAAAACCTATTTGAAGAAATAATGACAGAAAACTTCCCCTACCTGGTGAAAGTAATAGACTTACAAGACCAGGAAGCGCACAGAACCCCAAACAAAAGGAATCCAAAGAGGACCACACCAAGACACATCATAATTAAAATGCCAAGAGCAAAAGACAAAGAGAGA